AACAGGGGACTGACTCGGACCCCCCCTGAATATGGGTCTCAGCCAGAAGGTCTGAGCAGTCTAAGAGACCTCAGACAGTGGAGCCAGGATGTATCCCTGGTGCACAAAAGGACTTTGCAAACGTATGCCTCATGGAGGGATAACTGCCTTATTCTAGAGATAGGAGAGAAGCCCTAGTCCCTACTTCACAGGACCTGTCAGATCTACATGACCCCAACTGGATGGCATTCCCCTACATATGGTATTGTGGTGGGGGGTTTGGGAGGGGAGGGTGTTTAGAGTGCATGTGAGAGGGCAGAGAGGGCAAAAGGGAGGGAAGGAGGGAGGGAGGGCTGAAGGGGAGGGAGGGAGAGGGAACTGGGATCGACATGTAAAATAATAAATTTAAAAAAAAAAAAAAAAAAACGCTTTGACTCCAAAATTTAAGTTGAAGAACAAGTTACTGGGGGAAAAGGATTTCTATTTTTGTTTCCACAGAAAATGAAAAGATGTGGATTCCTTCCAGACTAATGTGGTTTGATCACGCCAGACCACCTGAAACAGAGTACAAGCTGATCCTACATTCCAAACAGCTGGACAAAACAGCCCTACAGACTACAGCTAGGATATCTGAATCTTCTTCGAATCCCCCGAGACAGCGCCCCTTACCAGCAGGAAGTAGTTTGGAAAGAACGATGCCCAAATTCCCAAATATTGTGTATAAATGTTTGTTTTCATTTAATTGGACTTTGTTATATAAAATTAAATAAAAAAAAAATAAAATGCACATTTAAAAGACTTGCTAAAAAAAATTTAAATGAACTAAAATTACCTCTTAAAGCCCTAATGAAGTTCTACAAGATCAAAAATCCCTATTCAGTGTTTTCAGAGCGCCAACTTCATTGTTGCATTCCTAGCACCCCCTTTTATCCCCAACACTGATCATGCTTCTGAAAGGAAGCAGCCCTGGAGCATCTCATTTCCTTTACCCTGTCTCAATTAGGGTTTCTATTACTTACTGTAAGAGGCACCATGACCACTGCAATTCATAAAGGAAGACATCTTATTGGGGCTCGCTTACAGTTTCAGAGGTTCAGTCCATTATCATCATGGCAGGCCACATGGCAAGCATGCAGGCAGAGATAGCTGAGACTTCTATATCTTACAGGCAATAGGAAGCTGACTGACATACTGGGCATTGTCCTGTGTATATGAAACCTCAAAGTCCACCCCTAAAGTGACACACTTCCTCTAAAAAGGCCATACCCACTCCAACAAAGCCACACCTCCTAATAGTGCCCCTCCCTATTAGATTATGGGAGTCAATTACATTCAAACTATCACACATCCTGTAGAGAAACATGGGGAGCGGAGCTCAGGAGCCCTTGGCTGGTGTGCTCAGTGTCCTGAGACCCACCTTCAACAGGACTCCAAATAGTCCTACCATAAAATCAACTAATGGACAAAGTAACAGCTGTGATTTTCAAAGTGAACTCTTTGACAAATGAAATATTTTCCCCCAAAGATACAAACATATAAAATGAAGAATGAAGTGAGTTGCAGGTTTTAGAGTAGTTCCTGGAAGTTCCATGGAATACAGTTTAAAAATGTGTAATTCAACGCAGTATTATTTATCTTTTCCTTAAATTCTACATTTTTCAGTTCTTCTTCTTCTAGAATTGTTTATTATATGTACAGTGCCTGCATGCCAGAAGAGGGCACCAGATCTCATTGTAGATGGTTTTAAGCCATTATATGGTTGCTGGGGATTGAACTGAGGTCCTCTGGAAGAGCAGCCAGTGCTCTTAACCTCTGTGCCATCTCTCCAGTCCTGTTCTTCAGTTTTAATAACATCTGTCAGGAGACACTTAAACTGCGAGGTACATCTTCAAAACTGTAATTATTGGGACTGGAAAGGTGGCTCAGCAGTTAAGAGCATTGCCTGCTCTTCCAGAACCCACATGGCAGATCACAGCCATCTCTATCTCCAGTTCCAGGAGATCCACTGACCCCTTCTGGCCTTCACCAACACTGCACGCAAACAATGAAAGAATATTAAAAGCTGCAAGGAAAAAAACAAGTAATATATAAAGGCAGACCTATTAAAATGATAGAAATTACAGCTGGCTTCTCAATGTAGACAGCCAGAAGGGCCTGAACAGATGTGTTACATACTCAAAGACCAGACTACTATACCTAGAAAAACTATCAATCACAATAGATAAGAAATATATTCCATAATAAAAATCAAATTTAAGCAGTATCTATTTACATATTCAGCCCTACAGAAGGTGTTAGAAAGAAAAATCCAACCTAAAGAGGTTAACAACATACAAGCAAACTGGAAATAAATAATCCTAGACCAGCAAATTAAAAAAAAAAGGAAAGAAAAGAAAGAAAAAAAAAAGAAAAAGAAAAAGAAAAACTCACGCCACTACCATAAAATAACTGAAATGATCTCATTGATAACTTTCAAATTCAATGCTTCAATTCCTCAGTAAATAGACTGCAAAGATACTGCACATCCCTTGATTCTTAAGAGCTGAAAACTACAAATGTAATAAACTCTGTAATAAAATACCATTGTCAGACTAGAGAAATATTTATAGCAAATATAATGGATAAAGAATCAAAAACCCTAATATAAAGGTCAGTGAGAAAAAATAAAATAGGAAAATGGCTATATAAACAGGAAACTCACAGAAAGTATTGATGCACTGGGGGAAAAAAAAAAAAACAAAGACAAAACTGTTTTCCTCACACCTTTGTTCTCAAGATGTCTCAGTGGGTAAGGGAGTCTGTCACCAAGCCTAACTATTTGAGTTCTCGGCCTCTCACCCACAAGGTGGGAAAAAAGAACTGGCTGGAAAAAGCTGTCTTCTGACCTCTACAAGTAGGTTATGACAAGCGCCACCACTCCACCCCCACAGCATACACACAAAACATAAAAAAAAAAAAAAAAAAAAAAAAAAAAAAAAAAAGCCCCTGTAGTACTAGCACTTGGGACATGAGGCAGAAAGCTACCAAGTTCTTCACAAGTTAAAAGATACACTTGGCATTCTTATTGCACAGAGGCTAGCCTGGGCTAAATGGCAAGACTGTTTCAATAAGAAGCAGAATAAAACCAAACAACAACAAAGAGAATAATGTGGCTTTCTGCAGAAGGCCCAGGTTCAGTTAACTGGACCAACATGCCACTTCCAGGGAATCTGATGACCTCTCATGGCCTTCCTGGGTAGTACACATGAGGTACACAAATATTTCTGCAGACACATTCACACACAAAGAATAAAGAATGCAGATAAAGGGAGTTCATTGGAAAAGGAAAAGGGGGGCCTTGAAGTTCTTAGAATTGCTCCAGGGAACAGCAGTTTAATGAACTGAGGAGCTCTTCAAACACCTGAGGTCATGAATCTGTTGAAGGCTTCATAGCAAGCATATGAATTAGCCTAGTCTAGCCTCCCCCTCCCACTTCATACTTCATATGCTTGAGGAGGAACAGGAAGTCCCAAATCCTGACACCTGACTTGGTGTTTCTGGAGATGAGCTCTTATCCAAAGCTACCCCTTTAGACCCAGACACAAACAACTCAGGAAACCCTTGGGAAGGAGGTACTTCCCATCAGCAACCAGAACCAAAAACCAAATAATACATACAACAAAAGACCTCCTTAGCATTCCTGCTCTTCCAGGAGCTACATGGGCTTTTAGGAGCTCTGTGCCAAAAACTAAGGGGATAAAACAGTATTCATATCTTTCTTATTATATCATAAACACAAACCTGTGTACACACACACACACACACAAGCATGGATGTTATTAATGTGAAGACAAACTAAGAAGATAAATCACACAGGGTTAGTTAGCTAAACCGTGGTAAATAAGCTGTGGTGAATACGTCACTCATTATTGTAGGAAGCTGATTGCACGTCATAAAAATTTTACTCTGAATATTTATAAGTTTTAAATTGTACTCTAAAGGAACTTTCTTGCAGACCTAGTGTTCCTCACTATAATGTACAGCTTTACTGGAACACTGATGAGATACTGAAACCTATCTAATCATACATGAAGAACAAGTTAGTTAACAATGGAACAGAAGTTAGATAGTTAAAACAAGGTGATATCTAAAAAGAAAGGCCTAGAAAGATGTCCATGATGAAGCAAAAGCAACCACATATAATGAACTTTTAAAAATAAATATGTAAAAATTAAAGATAATATGTAGAATAATTTCATCCTTATTTCTGTGTATGCATGTGTATCTGTGTGAGCATGAGTATACTATGAGGACATGCCTGAAGCCTGGCACTTGACCCCTGGAGCAGTAGTTATAGGTAGTAGGGAACCACCCAGTGTGGGTGATGGGAACTAAACTTGGGTGTTCTGAAACAGAAGCCAGGACTCTTAAAAGCTGAGCCAATCTTCAAACCCCTGTACTTCAAGGTTTTTATTATTAGTAGTATTCATTTGTGGGGTTGGAGAGATGACTCAGTGGTTAAGAGCCTTGGCTGCTTTCCCAGAGGACCTAGGTTCAATTCCCAGCACCCGCAAGGCAGCTCACAACTGTCTGTAACTCCATTTCTGGGCATACAATAGCATCTTCTGACCTCCTCAGTTACCAGGCACACATGTGGTACACAAACACATATGCAAAACACTCATGTACATAAGTAAAAAAAAATGTAAGTTTGGCATCTTTAAATTTGAGAGATTGTACACATAATTTCTGTCTACTCTAAAGTGGCACTAGTCTGTAAGGTTTGTAAGCAGAAATGTGTATCTATTTGTCTACTTTGAATGTTAAGATTAAAATGCCTTGAAATAGGAATGAATAATTTCCATTTGCTGTGCTGGGCAAGTCTGAATACACTTAGAACCATCTGACTTTTGTTGGGCTCTGGGGAAACTACAGAGCTGTGCATGTGGCACCTTCTGCAGGGGTGGGTTTGGGACAGTCTCCTTCTACTGACTGACTCGGTTGGTGTCTGGCGCTGTGTCTCACAGGGGATGTCTACTCACTCTGCTGTTCATGTCTTCTATCTGCTTTGCTCGCTGAACTCTCCGCATTTCTATGACCTGCTCTCTTTTCTTCTGCAGCCATGCTTTAAACACCATCTCGTTCTCCTTTTTCTTCTCATTCTCTTCTTCTATTTTGCGCTGTTCTTCCTGGTAGGGGGATTTTGAAAAGGTGTTAGTGGAAAATTCATGAAGCTGAGTGTGAGTCAAGTAGAGGAAAACCAAAGTTCTTTAAATAGCTAAGCCAGCCAAGTGTACAATTACATGGTGTTCATTACATGTCACTGAGAATATTATGTATCTTTCATAAGCTCTTAGGTGGCTTTTGGTGCCAATATAGCAGTGAAAACAACAGATATTTTACAAACTATAAATACAAATTGTGTGAGCATTTTTTAAGTAGTGTTAAATTAGTTGTGATGAAGGTACTGAAGTTATAAGACAAAATACTGTGTTCACTTATAAATGTGTGAGAAATATATGCAGAAGACAAAGAATGTGGTCTGTGTCTTGTTTTAAAAACCTTAGCCAATGTGGGGAATGTAACTAGTTGATGGAATGCCTAGCAACTTTTGGTTCTATCCTCAGAACAACAAAATACTAAAATGAAAGCAATAACTGAATAAATAAATACTTTAGCTTGAAAATAAATGGGCTAGTGCTGGAGAGATGGCTCAGAGGTTAAGAGCACTGGCTTCTCTTCCAGAGGATCCAAGTTCAATTCCCAGCACCCACAAGGCAGCTCACAGCTGTCTATAATTCCAGTTCCAGGGGATCTGACACTTTAACAGCAATGCACTAATATAAATTTAAATTATTTTAAATAGATACATGAATAAATAAAAAATAATCAGGAAACAGAGAAAATACACCAAAATTTGAATCCACTGATAAGGACACAAGAGTTGAGTTGTTTTATAGAGGCTGAAGTTTTTTATTAAAATGTTTTTTTCAGGGCATTTATGTTCACAAACTAGCATTTTTGCTATCAGAAGGACACTAGAGACTTGGTTAACTATTAAGGAAAAATGAAACTGTCTCTGAGTTACTCAGCTGCTATTATGAAGAGAAGTTATCTAAACTCGAAGGAAGCTACTCACACCCATTCTGTAGAGCTGTAAGGTAGTCACCAAGAGGGAAAGAACGGGGACAGTGGGAATAGCACCAGGCTACAAGTCAGGTGTGAGCCAGGGTCTCCTGGTGATGGTACTGTGTCAACCTGGGCGAGCCATTCGGCTTCTTCCTCACATCTTCTCCCCACCTGAGATTTCAGATGGAATGTGCAGGCACTTCATTAGGGATATTAGGCCTCCTCTCCCTCCGCCAGTAATTGTGCATGCTAGGCACTGCTCTACCACTGGGCTACATCCTCAGCCAAACACTACTTACTCCCAGTCTAAAACTGAAATCCCTGAAATCAAGGAATTATAGGCACAGAGGCTACATGAAGTGCAAACAGATAAAACAATGATGATGCAAGGTAGCCTGTTGCCTAAATTTTGTGCCTGCCACGTTCCTTGTGAGATTTGATTCTAGCCTACATAACCTGCTTTCAAGTGTCACCTTCAAAGTGACAGTGTCCAGTGTCATTTCTGAGAACCTGTCTAGGTCTAATGAAGATGTTCTACTATATTTTTGTGATGTTTATGAGAAAGGATCAAGATAATGACAGCATTCCATATACACAGATTCTCAACACTTAACCACAGTGATTTTGACAGCATGAAAGTAAACAAAGGCCGCAGCTGCTAGCATATTGAACCATCCCTGTCTTGTGATTTCAATAAAACATGGAAATACACTCCCCTTTCAACACAAACGCCCATGTGCTTTCCTTCTTACCTCCCTCTTTAGCTTTTCTCTCTTCCGTTCTAGCTGTTTTTGGAGTTCTTTCTGTCGTGGCGAAAGACAATACGTTGAAGTCACTGGAGAGACACCTGCAGACTGTATTCTGTGATTAGATCTCCTGTTTCTTCTATTTAGATCTGGGTTGGCAGCAGAGCTTGGACGAGTCTTGGGGTTGGGTGGTGGCTGAGGGACTTGAGCCAATGGCTCTCCTGTTGGAGAGAGAGCCACAGAATGAACCTTGGCCACAGGCTCGTCTTTCTTGACGCCCCCAACAGACGATGGGGTGGGAGACCTGAGCAGCAACTGTGAGGAATCGATTTCTGTGTTGTTAGCATTATTAATGGGGGGCAGGAACCCCTGGCTCTCAATGTCTTGTAAATTCATCAGTTCAAACTTCCCGTCTCTCTCTACCAGTATCTTCCTATCATTTTCTTCACAGCCGCCATCAGGAACTGACAAGACCACATTCTCTTGTCCCAATTCGCCAGAAATGCATAACTGTGACAGTTTTCCAGACATATTATTTTCATTTTCTAAGGAAGCTTTACAAGTGTCGCTGTCTTCTAATGGTGGAACTTCTAAATCAACTAATTTGTCTTTGAACTTGAGTTTTCGCTCCCTTTTGTCATCCACTGGCTCTTGATTCTGTAGGAGCTTGTTAGCCTCTATAATCTTCTCCATAATATATCTCCTTACTTCCTCATCCTCTTCTTCCTCCAGGTCTTTCTGGTTTTCTGCTTTGAAGTCCTGGAAGGAGTTCTCACTGTCTGAGTCTGATATGGGATCCAACGGCTGGATACTTGGGACGGAAATGAAGTCATTTCTTCTGGATGAGGCCTCATCCCTTACAGGCTTATCTGGATCAGAGTGCTGTTGGCCCTGTTCTGTTTCTGCTTCACTCTCTTTCAGTTCCTGGTCAAGATCGTCTTCCTTCTTGCAAGCCATCTTTAAAAGAGACATGAGATTCTACTTTCGAGTACAATTAAGATTCTGTTCATTTATCTGGGGGGCAATTGAAATCAATTGTCTATTCATGTGGTTTATTTTATACACGGGAGAATTTAAGTATGTCTGGCTTACACTTTACTCATAATATTATATGCCATATTTTGGAGCACCTCAGAGAAATGCCAGATAAACAGTGAGTCCTCCTTATCATCACTCTAATTCTCCAACCCTGTACTCCACATCTGGAGCTAATCCAGCTGCAAGACCTCACCTATCAGGAGATCCCTGCCTCCACTGTTTCTGGACACTTCCTAATATGCTGCACAAAACTTTCCTCTTCCAAGCACCTTAGAAAAACTTCACCTTTGCCTTTTTATTTTTTCAAATATTCTAATGCATTTATTTCTTCAGCACACAACAAATAAAGATGGAGTTAAGTTTGCAAAAACCACTGCCTTCATTTCTTCAAATTCTTTCCGTTAAAACCCTAGAATCTGGAGAACTATTCTTTTTGTTGTCTTTTTAACATCACCTCATGTGACAGCCCAGTCATACTCCTCGTTACTTCATCACTTATTGACACTAATATCCATACACACAATTATATATAAATATATATGCTGTGTGTGTGTGTGTGTGTGTGTGTGTGTGTGTGTGTGTGAACAGAATATATTAGCAATAGGAATAGCCTGGAATGGTTCATTTTTCCTGACTTTTCCTTCTATATATCTAATCAATAGCACTGCATCCTGGTTTATGTACTTCTACAAATATATTATAGCTCAGATAAGCCCTTTATTTTTCCTCTATCTTCATTACTCCGGAGCGCTAATTGTGTTTTAAAGTTTCAGCTATTAGCCTGAAGATTATATTTTTAAAGGATTTACTTATGTTAAAAGTATAAATCCATGATCTTTTCAGGTTTTCACCTTTGATGCACTAAATCATGTTAATATCTTACGTATTTAGATTAAAAATCCATTATCATTTGAGTTTTGCTAAGTGCATTTTAATTTTGATTCTCTCATTCACTCAGGCTTTAAGATACAATATTTAAACTATCTGATGGGTCTACTTCTTATCTCCAAGACAGGGATACCTCAATACACATCAAGAAAGCATTGTGAAGTTTAAATGAGATACCATTAGTGAACACCTTCATGGCTGGCAAAGTACTTTTCTAACACAATTATCGTGCACGCTCTTGGTAGTTCACACATACCTCTATTATGCTGCCATTGCTTTTCTCTTTGTCATTGATCAACCACTCCAGGTCCTTTTCAAAGTCATCTTCATATTCCCCACTTTCTTTTGAATCAATAGCTTTACTTTCATTCATTTTCCCACTTGTCAATGAATAATGCTATAATATTTAAAAGATAAAGGTGTATGTTATGTCAGTTTAGAGGTGGAATGGTGGACAGAGGACCGGTGTTGCAGGTAAGCTAATTACCACATAGAAACGTGTAACAGGAAGCGCTCAGGGTAAATGTGTTTGTACACACCCGTCAATGGCAACACATTTCCATAGCAGACATTTCTAACAACCCTTTCACCTCCTTCAATTCTCCCAGCCCTAATCTATGAGATTTCTGAGGTAGTTAAGAAGTTGGAGGCTTAGAAAAGGATTTTCTCCATCCCCTGCCAATTAGCAAAACTGACTTAGTAAATGATGTAGCTTAGGCTTTGTGTTTAGTTTTAGTTTTTAGCTATTTGGATAAATAAGAAGTCAGCTAACTGGATAATAATCATTTCTAAAATATTAATTGTACTCTTTCCAGATATTTTAAGACAGATATATTAATTTATGCATTCCCTTAAGCTAAAAATATAAAACAGGCTTTCTTGACAAGCCTAAAGGTAACACTTCAATAACTTCTCAATTAGAATTTGAGGGCAATAATATTTTGAGGTGACTTGGATTAACCAACATCTCTCTTCAAGATAGGCTAAATTACTTACACCATCTACCCACATTATGAAAGACACAGAATCAAATAAAATTTGCTATAACACAAAAGGCATACAAAAACCTATTTTGCATATAAAATCTATACAAAATGCTGGTTTTCTACACTACCTTAGCATAATCAACTATCTTTTCACAGAAGGGGTATTGAAATTTATTAAGATGCTTAATTTATTGTTAGAAGAAAACATCTGTTAGATGTTAGAAGAAAACTCCTCAATGTTTTCCCTCAGTTTTATAATAGTTCTCAATGCATAAATAATAAGCATGAAATAGTTCATACTGCTGAACTATTAAACAGACTTTTATACATCATTATTTATAAAAAATATCACCTATGTGAAAACTAAAATGCAAAATTCAAAACCAGAATCAGTATAACAAATAAAAATGTGTCAGACATATTAAGAGCTATTAAAACCATACACTACAAATTGAGAGAAAAAAGGCCTAGGTAAGTAAATGAGAAATAAGTGAAGTTGCATCAAATCTGAATTGTAATTGAATTTCTATAACTCCAAAAGAAACATTACCACTGCCTCTTGTGTCAACAAACAACATAAGCATGGACTCTTGTTGCCAAGTCCCTTAAGCCTTTCAAATGATTCTCAGATTATTCAACCCTTCAGTTTTCTAATCACCACCACCAGGACACTGTTCATATGGTACATACGTCAACATATTAGAATAAAATATCTTCCATGAACCAAACAACTTAGCATTTCCTACTTGATTACTGTGAATTTCACACACTTAAAATTTATCATTAATAATAAAAAAAAAAACCTTCGAAAATGGTTCAGGTCAGATCCACCCTCAATAGTGAACCACACAGTGACAGAAATTAGTTCTTTCCTAAGTTTGTGAAAATTCCTGAGTGAATAGGTGTCTGAACATCTTCTAGTATGGGTTCGAACCAAGTGCATAGATGCATTATATTGGTAACTTTATTCCAAGATTAAATTACTTAAAAATACTTTAATCTGATACTTCAGTTCCAGTCTTATCCTAAAAACATTTTAAACAGTGTTTGTTGAAACACCAAAAACCAAAAGAACAGTAGAAAAAAAAAAGCCTTTTCATATAAAATAACCATTTAGCAAAAACTCATTTTAAAAAGCAGTTAAGCAAATCCCCACAACACTGCGAAATCATCAGGTCTATCCTTCCTGCTTCATTCTGATTACAACTGTGGTAGTATGAAGCTTTTTTTTTTTTTTTTTTTTTTTACAATCTGTTACAAGCTCTGACACTAATATTTAACAAAATTAGGTAATGATTTGAATTCGTACTGAACATCCTCAGTGAGCACCAACTACACGGATAGCATTCCATGAATGGCAGCTGACATTTCAGGAGTGATCTTTTTTTTCCATGCAAGCTACCTTTCACAATTGAGAACTTTGAGAAGGGGTATAATATGCCAAAAATGCAGTGCGAGCATGAAAGCCACCCTCTGAGGGGTTCCCCTTGTGCATGGCAGCAGCGACAAGGTGGCAGGCTGGGGCGATCCTGGGACTTATGCTGGAAGGACAGCTCATTTCAAGAGCTTCACCCACCTCCCCTCCCAAGTAGCCCAGACGTTTATCCTCTCCCCAGTTCTCCCACCAGAATCTGCGTCGTCCTTCCCTTCTCTCCCGCCAAGTCCCTTCCTGCCTGTAGAAGATGCAGTGGCCGGGCACACAGAGATAGCCGAGAGAGCTCTCCTCTCCTTTTCTAAGCTCTGACAAGGCAAAGGTGACACCCCGGGGCCGGCTCCTGATGCAGCCAGCACCCGGCTGCCATGGCAACGGAGCGTCTCTGCGGTCTTCATCCGGGCATCCCACCACTGAGGCTCCGTAGGCTCGTGCGCAGGCGCAGTAAGTATCCGCGAACACCTGCGCTTCACAACCTGCCAGGGTTTGGCAGACCAGGAATCCACACCTCACCTTCGGTTTTCATGCCACACTGGGACCTGGTGTAGGACTGCTGTATCGGGCGTGGATTTTGTATAACTCTTACCAGATTTTGAACTTGTTGCTAAAACTTATAAAAGTGCACTTCTGTAGTCATTTTCTTAAGTTAATATTTTAAAAAAATAGCAAATTGTTACTTCCACCCTCAGTTTAAAATAAATCAGTCAAATTTTTACTTACAGAGTTATGAAAGGAAATAGAACTTTTAGTTCTAGCATTCAAGCTTATCAAGACAGCCAACTACAGTTTCCCCATACTTCCCTAAATATCTTTATGAACATAAAGAAAATAAGATAACATTCAGATTGTGGTGACAGATTAACAGAACAGAACCCCAATCCAGCCATGGAGAAGAAGCTCACAAGATAGGGTGTATTTAGAAAGGTAGGTGAGCGATACGACACACGCAAGAATTCATCTTTAAAGGGGTGGATTGAGAGGAGACTAAAATAAAATGTTTTTTATAAAGTGTTTGCTCCAGAGTTTACTTTTGAAAAATAAAAAAGAATTATGGGAGATGAGCCGCTGCACTGTACGCAGAGATTATAGCCCGTGAGAAGACAGAAGGCAGCAACCCATTTGGGGACTCAAAATACACCAGATGGCGTCCAGCATAAAATGAAACCTTATGGCTCACTGCCCATCTCAGCCCCTCGGGGACTGCAAGCATAATGTGAAACTAATAATATGATCTAGGGATAAACATTGCTGCTTCTCATTTCCTTGCAAAAGTTTTTCATAGCTTTCATTCCTACAAAACTATGAGCTCCCCTTCATATGTTTTAAACATTTACAAGCCCTTAGCCTTATAGCATTGGAATGTTAGATGAGTATTTACTGAGTTCGCATGGCTAATAGGTCTTTAAAATGAAGGAACTGTGACGTTTACAAGCTAATCTTATTGTGGCCAATCTATTCATGTGTGTAATCGGTTACATGATATTTTTCTAAGGCTTTCTGAGGAGAATGAAGGTTACTGAAAAGAAGTAGTGTTTGATGATCAGAGGTGAGAGAGGAACATATTTAGAAAATGGGGTATTTTAGAAAGACAGCACTCTGATAAACAGAATAAGGAGATATACCATGAATGTACAAGACTTGCACATGGGTGAGGGAGGAATGGTGGTGGGATTCTAATGTCCAGTAGGTCAAAGTACCTACTCCATCATATGCATAAATACCATTTAATGTCTTTTTCTTCTGAGATGAAGGACATATAAAAACTGGTAGACTTAGAAAGAACCAAGTACATGAAGAAAAGGAATTTGGTTGCTATTCATCATCTTTCACTTGGTTTGTCAGTGTTAATTATCAGTAAGTTACTGTATAGTGCCTGTAGGGTATAGAAATAATATGAATTAAACTGACCATACATGGACTTGGTGTATGTAAAATAGTGATATATTTCCTTATCTACTGATTAATATTAGTTATAACTATAAAATTTAAGTGTGTGTGTATTCTAAAGTAATACACCCCAATTTATGTCTTTACTCATTATATAACACATAGAAATAAGTGTGTACAGTATAAATTTAGGTAACTTTCTGTAAATGCCTTGACAATATTTTACTTAAATAAAGAAGAAAAATTAGATCTGTCAAAGTGTGAAGGATTGAGAATATGTGACAAAACATGTCTTCTGCAGAATATTCAAAGTAGTATAGTTTATAGAAACTATTCTGATTTTTGTAGATCAACAAGAAGTGAGTGACTCAGTAACAAAGTGCCAGATACTGACTGCTCTATACATTTGGAACCACTAGTAGCCTAACCCCTCAGCTACCTAGAGTCCAGTTGCAAAAAATCAAATGCAAAAGGCTTACGAGATATAAAGATATTATGAAGTTCATTAGCCTCTCATAGTCCTTTGGCTTTTGGCTTTCTTTTCATAATTTAGATTTCTGAATTCTCTGTCCAGGGCTAAAAATGTGATATTTGAAAGGAAGTGAAAAAGATTAGATGGGATGTCTAAGTGAGTGTAATTTTCTGCATTTTATACCTATGCAGTGGTTCGCAACCTTCCTAATGCTTTGACCCTTTAACAGTTTCTTATGTTGTGGTAACACCCAACCATAAATTTATTTTCATTGCAACCTCATAAATGTAAATTTGGTACTGTTAGAAATTATAATGTAAATATCTGTGTTTTCCAATGGTCTTAAGAGACTCTGTGAAAGGGTCATTAGACCCTGAAGGCGTCATGACCCATGGGTTGAGAACCCTGATTTAGAGGCCTGTAAAGGGGGCTTCATAGCTTTTTGAAACTAATTATTAAAATTGAGATATTTTATAAAGTACTTGGTAATGTATACTGACATTGGAATTTCTTTTCTTTTTCTTATTTGCATATTTTATGCATGAGTGCTATGTCTTTGCACACCAGAAGAAGGAATCTGATCCTATTACAGATGGTTGTAAACCACTATGTGGTTGCTGGGAATTAAACTTAGGACCATTGGAAGAGCAGTCAAGTGCACGTAGCCGCTGAGCTATCTCTCAGGCACCCTGACATTGGTTTTTAAAGGTAAATATCCATTGCCTTCAACTAAGGAACATAATAATAAAACTATGGAGTAATAAACATACTATGTTAATAAACTTTTTCATTGCTAACAAATACCTTATAGATACAATGTCCTGGGACAAAAGTTTGGCTTTGCTTGGTGGGTTCCATCCCAAGGCTAGCTGGCTATCTGCTTCTGGGACTGTAGTGAGGCAGAGTGTTATGACAGAAGGATTTGTTAAAGAAAAACTCCTTACCCATGCTAGCCAGAAAGCAGAGAGAGAGCACCCCTGTACTAGATGGTTCCTTCCTTTCATCCTTTTTTTTTTTCCATCTCAAACCCCTGCTTATTGCAGCTGGTCACATTCAGGGCCAGGAAACACCCTCACAGCCATACCCAGAGCCATGCTCTCCTAATTTCCTAGGCATGTCTCAATCCAATCAAGTGGACAATGTTACCCATCACACATGTTAAATAAGTTCAATCATATGATAAGGTATATTAGAGATATTTCAAATCTAAATATTGTTGTAATGAAAATCATTAAACCAATATTCTTTTTAGATTTTCCCTGGTGAGTCACACCAGAGGCCAAAGGACTTAAGTTTGCTTCTGACCCACACACAGCACGGGAGGAATTCATTTCTAGCTCAAATACCAGCAGCACATTCCTTAAAACGAATGTTCTGAGGAAAAAGGCATTTGCAGTGTAATTACTTCCACGTGGCTGTAGATTTGTTTAGCACTTTTGACTGCAGGCTCTGGCCCTGTAGGGCAGAAGAATAAAGGGATTTCTTGCTGGGAGGCTCCAGCTTACTTATATATGATTAGAAGTCCTGTGACCAACCCTTGACTGTGGAAGAAGATTTAATAGTAATAAATCACCATAGCAACAAAACAGAATTTATTTCAGTTTCTCCTGTGAGAAAGCAACAAACATAATATGCCTTTCATTATTGAAAAGAAAACTGTCTGTTTATAAGTCTAGTTTTATTGCCTAATGAGTGATTTCTCTTTGAAAGTAAGCCATTTACTAAACTACCCTGTACATTTAGCTTTTTTTCCATGTGGAAATTTATAGCAGAAGTTGTTTTTGTTTATAGACAGGAATATTTAACAAGACAAGTACAATAATAAGTTAGAAGATGAAGAAGCTAGGTTACCACGGTGTATGAACACTATTGACTGTGACAAGATGGACGCTGTGTTCTCATTGGCTTCACAAGAGTAGAGGCTAACACACCCTTGAAGCCAGTGTTCTTCATTTTGCTCAGTTATGATAAAAAAAATCCTTGTAAGTTCATAATCTGTCTATTCATATTCCCCCATATTCTTTAATGTTGACATTACCTAGCAAAGATGACATTGTGGTTTGTTGGCAGTTATGACCTACTGTAAAATGTTAATGTGATTAAAGCAAGCTCTTGAAATCAGAGGCTCCTTGAAGCAATACCCTTGGTTCAGCAAGTCGCTAACACAGATAGGTGATAGGTGGTTCTGGAGTGCTGGCAATAAGAGCCTGTTCTCTAGGTCTGAGTTTCACATTTAACAGTCAGTGGGACTGAGGGAGTATGGAAGGTCAGTACCTGGTTCTTGTGGCCAGAAAGATAAGTGTACAGGTTTGTTAGAAAAACACCCTGTTCCTTAGCATTCATTTTTTAAAGTGATTTTTTTCCAGTTTTTTTTTTAACTAAGAGAAACAAACCATTTAAGGAGGGCTTTCTAGTGTGTGTGTGTGTGTGTGTGTGTGTGTGTGTGTGTGTGTGTGTGTCTCACTTAGTTTGATTAGGGTTGCTTTCATGTGTAGGGTTATTTGCTGAGGCATAGGTAGCTCACCAGTGCCTGTCCCTCCTCCTATAGCTCTGCAAGGAGGGCCTGGGCCTCATGAGTCCTTCCCCATTTCTTGGAGGAATGCATTAGCAGTGCAGTGAATTCAGTATGGTTTGAAAAGAAAGGTGTTATGGCTGTCCCTCCTTTTGTCTCCTGCTTTGGAGAGTGCATAGGACAGGCAGAGTAGAACAAATCAGTTCTTTTCCAGACTCTACCCCTTTTCCTAGTTGTAGGCTAAACAAGTCCCTGGCAGCAAGTATAAAAGAGTAACTTGACAACATCCAAGATGATGCATTAAGATGACATGGAAAAATAACACGAAGAAATGTGATAAGATTTCTTAACAGGGTGGGGGAATGAAAGAAAGAAGATTCGGGC